ATATATATATATATATATATATATATATATATATATATATATATATATATATATATATATATATATATGTATTATATATATATATATATAATATATATATATAATTATATATACATATATTATATTTATATAATTATAAGTTAATATATATATATATATATATATATATATATATATATATATATATATATATATATATATATATATATATATATATATATATGAATGTATGTATGTATGCAATAAAGGTCGGGGATAAATTTAAAATATGAGCAGAGGATGAACATGTAAATAACTGACATGGAGGGAGATGTTAATACTTTGCGGACATGATGTGAGGCTCGCGAGGATGTCTTGACCTTACTTGAGCAATGGAAGCCGTGGAAGAGGGGAGTGCTGTGTTTGAGCTTCTACCAGAGGAGGAAAACCCATAACTGTGTGCTCCTACAGGAGAAGGTAATCAAGCAGGCGTTCATATGTGAAGCCTGAGGACGACTTAAAGTGCTCAAGACAGGACTAGAAGAAGCCTTGTGAGGCAGTCCTATAGCGATTTTGTGGGCAACCTGTGTGGGCGCCATTGTGAGGACCAGGACCTGAGCACCCTCAACATAGATTCTGCGGTATGTTTGGGGAAGAGTTGATGGAAGAACTTCGAGGCTGGGGAAGTGTGTGTGCTGAAATCTGTGGGAGAGCAGAACTCCATAGTGAGGAGCTGACCTGAAGCAGTGTAAAGGAGCAGTGAATAGGAGTTTCACGTGTCACCGTGGAATCAGTGGTGAAGCATCACTGGTGTTTGAAGAGGACTTCATTGTGCAGCAGTTTTGGATAACTGCAGAAGTGTCTTGTTGAACATTTTGGAGGACCTAGAGATGTACATGGTAGTGAACCTCCAGGAGCAGAGCAGAGGTTTATGGTGGGTACACAGGAATGTATAAGGGAAGTGCTTGAATGCTTATTGGCGTGTAAGACGCAGTGTAAGGTGAGAGATTGACTGCTTCTTGTGTCGGGGAATATTTCTGCAGATGTTTCTGGTGTTTCAGCCACAGGCTGAGTTTTATGTACTTTTTGGGCTGAATGTATAATATTGTTGTGACGAGATTTTAATCTCATTTAGTGAGGGAGTGGTAAGTCATAAGCCAAGAATTGAGCAGCCACTTGATATGGACGGTTGGTGAAGCCAGGATATGATTTTGGATTTCTACCAGGTTGTAGCAGCTCAGAGTGTTGTATAATAATGTTTTCATTTATTTTTATATCATGTATTGTATTGTATTTTTCGTTTATGAAATGTATATTGTTAACTGGCTATTGCTCTTGTCCTGGTGAGGCTTCCCAGAAAGTGAGAGAGAGAGAGAGAGAGAGAGAGAGAGAGAGAGAGAGAGAGAGAGAGAGAGAGAGAGAGAGAGAGAGAGAGAGAGAGAGAGAGAGAGAGAGAGAGAGAGAGAGTAAGGATCATGGCTGCGGACAGGGTGGCAGAGAATACTAATTCGTAAAAGGGGAATTTAGGAGATCATTCCAAACAAGGAGAGAGTGGGGAGTCACGGCGGCTCAAGTAGGGTGTGTACACAGGACAATGAGGCCAGTGTTGGAGCCGCACCCCTAGATATGTGATGTGGAAGCCCTCTCCAAGATCAAGAGGCGTACAGAGTGATCTCCTGAGTAAATTGCAAGCACTCCAGTGTTCGTTGCTGGTCGACGGACGGTAGCGGGAGTGTGGCTGCCGAGGTCGGTTGTCTGTTCTGGCAGAGAGTGGTTGGGGGAAGTTGTCCGCCTGTACGTAAATAGCAGTCTGGTGCAACAATCAGAGCTCTCTTTGCAGGTTTAAGTTCCACAAGACCCAACTCTCTCAGGCCAGAGCACAAGTAATTGACTTTGCCATTTGTCAGTCGTTGTGTACTTTGTACTGGGCTGGGACAGAGTTGGTGGACTGGGGACAGAAGATGACTTGTGAAAAGAGTTTTTCGACTTTGAGATTTGCCAGTTCAGTTGGAACTTAGTTTTTCTGAAGGCAAAGTGACGGTTCGCTGACTTGTGTTTATTGAGGTTCATGGTGAGACATTACGCTCCAGTCTCGTTAAGTAACATCACCACCCATCTTGTCCACTTAGCAGCCTGTCTTATGCTGTCTAGCATACTCATGTTACTAGGTTATCTTGGCTTAGTGACATCTAGCTGCTGTGACTTGTGCTTTGTGTTAACTTACTTGACTGTTACTTGGTTGTGTGCATGAATATCTTTTGTAAATAAGTTGTGTCATTTAGATAAGTTCACCCCAGTAAGCTGATGGATTTTACTTAGACTTTCATTAAACTCTAGACACTGTGAACTTACATATTTGAGGCCAGGAGGTTCACTGATATATGGGGAAAGTTCTACTCCATGAGCCTTAATTGGGATTCATGTCATTACACCTGGCACTGAGTTTGAAAAGATCCCAGCTAGCGTAGAATGGCCCCTTACCCTTACTGTCCAGCCCGTGCTCCCTTGCCCTTACTGTCAAGCCCGTGCTCCCTTGCCCTTACTGTCCAGCCCGTGCTCCCTTGCCCTTACTGTGCAGCCCGTGCTCCCTTGCTCTTACTCTCCAGCCCGTGCTCCCTTGCCCTTACTGTGCAGCCCGTGCTCCCTTGCCCTTACTGTGCAGCCCGTGCTCCCTTGCTCTTACTCTCCAGCCCGTGCTCCCTTGCCCTTACTGTGCAGCCCGTGCTCCCTTGCCCTTACTGTCCAGCCCGTGCCCTCTTGCCCTTACTGTCCAGCCCGTGCTCCCTTGCCCTTACTGTCCAGCCCGTGCTCCCTTGCCCTTACTGTCCAGCCCGTGCCCCCTTGCCCTTACTGTCCAGCCCGTGGCCCCTTGCCCTTACTCTCCAGCCCGTGCTCCCTTGCCCATACTCTCCAGCCCGTGCCCCCTTGCCCTTACTCTCCAGCCCGTGCTCCCTTGCCCTTACTGTCCAGCCCGTGGCCCCTTGCCCTTACTGTCCAGCCCGTGGCCCCTTGCCCTTACTGTCCAGCCCGTGCCCCCTTGCCCTTACTCTCCAGCCCGTGCTCCCTTGCCCTTACTCTCCAGCCCGTGCCCCCTTGCCCTTACTCTCCAGCCCGTGCTCCCTTGCCCTTACTGTCCAGCCCGTGCTCCCTTGCCCTTACTGTCCAGCCCGTGCCCCCTTGCCCTTACTGTCCAGCCCGTGGCCCCTTGCCCTTACTCTCCAGCCCGTGCTCCCTTGCTCTTACTCTCCAGCCCGTGCTCCCTTGGCCTTACTGTCCAGCCCTTTCTCCCTTGCCCTTACTCTCCAGCCCGTGCTCCCTTGCCCTTACTCTCCAGCCCGTGCTCCCTTGCTCTTACTCTCCAGCCCGTGCTCCCTTGCCCTTACTCTCCAGCCCGTGCTCCCTTGCCCTTACTGTCCAGCCCGTGCTCCCTTGCCCTTACTGTGCAGCCCGTGCTCCCTTGCTCTTACTCTCCAGCCCGTGCTCCCTTGCCCTTACTGTGCAGCCCGTGCTCCCTTGCCCTTACTGTGCAGCCCGTGCTCCCTTGCTCTTACTCTCCAGCCCGTGCTCCCTTGCCCTTACTGTGCAGCCCGTGCTCCCTTGCTCTTACTCTCCAGCCCGTGCTCCCTTGCCCTTACTCTCCAGCCCGTGCTCCCTTGCCCTTACTGTGCAGCCCGTGCCCCTTGCCCTTACTCTCCAGCCCGTGCTCCCTTGCTCTTACTCTCCAGCCCGTGCTCCCTTGCCCTTACTGTCCAGCCCTTTTTCCCTTGCCCTTACTCTCCAGCCCGTGCCCCCTTGCCCTTACTGTCCAGCCCGTGGCCCCTTGCCCTTACTCTCCAGCCCGTGCTCCCTTGCCCTTACTGTCCAGCCCGTGCCCCCTTGCCCTTACTGTCCAGCCCGTGCCCCCTTGCCCTTACTGTCCAGCCCGTGCTCCCTTGCCCTTACTGTCCAGCCCGTGCTCCCTTGCCCTTACTGTCCAGCCCGTGCCCCCTTGCCCTTACTGTCCAGCCCGTGGCCCCTTGCCCTTACTCTCCAGCCCGTGCTCCCTTGCCCTTACTCTCCAGCCCGTGCCCCCTTGCCCTTACTCTCCAGCCCGTGCTCCCTTGCCCTTACTGTCCAGCCCGTGGCCCCTTGCCCTTACTGTCCAGCCCGTGCCCCCTTGCCCTTACTGTCCAGCCCGTGCTCCCTTGCCCTTACTGTCCAGCCCGTGCCCCCTTGCCCTTACTGTCCAGCCCGTGCTCCCTTGCCCTTACTCTCCAGCCCGTGCCCCCTTGCCCTTACTCTCCAGCCCGTGCTCCCTTGCCCTTACTCTCCAGCCCGTGCCCCCTTGCCCTTACTCTCCAGCCCGTGCTCCCTTGCCCTTACTCTCCAGCCCGTGCCCCCTTGCCCTTACTCTCCAGCCCGTGCTCCCTTGCCCTTACTCTCCAGCCCGTGGCCCCTTGCCCTTACTCTCCAGCCCGTGCCCCCTTGCCCTTACTCTCCAGCCCGTGCCCCCTTGCCCTTACTCTCCAGCCCGTGCTCCCTTGCCCTTACTCTCCAGCCCGTGGCCCCTTGCCCTTACTCTCCAGCCCGTGCTCCCTTGCCCTTACTCTCCAGCCCGTGCTCCTAAGGTTTCCCAATGTCAAAAAACTATTGTATTAAAGTGCCCTCTTCCTAAACTACCGGCGGACCCAAAACATTACACGGGACTGTATGTTAATTTTGCGAGGCGCTACCATTTTCTAGCATGACAATTTTATATAATGATGCATAATATATATATTTTAATATAATGACACATACGTCAAAATGCGACGTTCTATTAGGAAGTCGGTTTTCACTGTCGTGATCTTGTCGGATTACAATGATCTTTTTATTAAATTCATCTGAGTGAAGCAGTGCAGTAAACGTTATCAACGTTTATACGGTACATACAAAAGATTCCATTGTGCTGGAATCTACTGTATGTAAAATGTTTCGCTAACAATTTGTTAAATTGTTAGGTGAAAGTTTCCTTACTATTCTAAGTTAATGTTGAGACAAACCTGCTATTGTGGCTGTGGCTGTGACGGGTCGAGTGAGGACCTCATACGTAGCAAGTGTCTGCCAGCCTCTAGACACCTCACTCACTCCCGGCGTTAACAAGTGTTGTGCTTCCACCACTGTTGAATTCTGGTAGAAAAAATGAAACAATAACTGGATTTAAAGATTTAGAGTAAAGTTAAATTAAGAATCTGCAGAAAGTACTATTAGAGTACAATATCTACAACTGCAGATAAGATTCATATAATATGCCTAGCTAGCATTTAATTTTGTTAAATTACATTCATTCTGGAAATAAAAATGTAAAGCGAATAATACTATATATTTTATTGTCTAATGATAGAATTAAACTCCATATTTCAGCTAGAAGTGTGGCCAAATAATATGAATGCCTCTGCACGCAGGTCTTCCTTATTCATGAAACATTTTGTTGTAACGTGTGGGTGAAGCTTCATCACATTAGCATGAACATAAGAACATAAGAACATAAGAACAAAGGTAACTGCAGAAGGCCTATTGGCCCATACGAGGCAGCTCCTATTCTATAACCACCCAATCCCACTCATATACTTGTCCAACCCGTGCTTGAAACAATCGAGGGACCCCACCTCCACAATGTTACGCGGCAATTGGTTCCACAAATCAACAACCCTGTTACTGAACCAGTATTTACCCAAGTCTTTCCTAAATCTAAACTTATCCAATTTATATCCATTGTTTCGTGTTCTGTCCTGTGTTGATACTTTTAATACCCTATTAATATCCCCCCGGTTATGTCCATTCATCCACTTGTAAACCTCTATCATGTCACCCCTAACTCTTCGCCTTTCCAGTGAATGCAACTTAAGCTTTGTTAATCTTTCTTCATATGAAAGATTTCTAATTTGGGGAATTAACTTAGTCATCCTACGCTGGACACGTTCAAGTGAATTTATATCCATTCTATAATATGGCGACCAAAACTGAACTGCATAATCTAAATGGGGCCTAACTAGAGCAAGATATAGCTTGAGAACCACACCAGGTGTCTTGTTACTAACGCTGCGATTAATAAATCCAAGTGTCCGATTTGCCTTATTACGAACATTTATGCATTGATCCTTTTGTTTTAAATTCTTACTAATCATAACTCCCAGATCCCTTTCGCAATCCGACTTCGCAATCACAACACCATCTAGCTCGTATCTTGTAACTCTATCATCATTACCTAACCTCAGAACTTTACATTTATCAGCATTAAACTGCATCTGCCAATCCTTTGACCATTTCAAAACCCTATCTAGATCAACTTGAAGTGATAGTGAGTCCTCCTCCGAATTAATTTCCCTACCGATTTTCGTATCATCGGCAAATTTGCAAATGTTGCTACTCAAACCTGAATCTAAATCATTTATATATATTATAAACAACAGAGGTCCCAGGACAGAGCCTTGAGGCACTCCACTTACAACATTTTCCCACTCTGACTTGATTCCATTTATACTAACTCTCTGTTTCCTTTGGTATAGCCATGCCCTAATCCAGCTTAATATAGCACCCCCAATACCATGAGACTCTATTTTTTTAATCAGTCTTTCATGTGGCACTGTATCAAAAGCTTTGCTAAAGTCAAGGTATACAACATCGCAATCCTTACCACTATCAACTGCCTCAACAATGCTAGAATAAAAGATAACAAATTTGTTAAACATGAACGGCCATTTATAAAACCATGTTGCGACTCAATTATTAATTTATGTTTTTCAAGATGAAGACGAATTTTATTTGCTATTATAGATTCGAGTAACTTTCCCACAATAGACGTTAGGCTAATTGGTCGATAGTTAGACGCAAGTGATCTATCTCCTTTCTTAAAAACTGGTATCACATTAGCAACTTTCCAAAACTCTGGCACTCTGCCTGACTCTATTGATTTATTAAATATGGTTGACAGTGGGTCACAAAGCTCCTCTTTGCATTCTTTAAGCACCCTAGCAAACACTTCATCCGGCCCTGGGGATTTGTTTGGTTTGAGTTTTACTATTTGTTTAAGAACATCCTCCCTGGTAACTGCTAAACTCGTCAACCTGTCCTCGTCCCCACCCACATAGACTTGTTCGGCTGAAGGCATATTGTTAAGTTCCTCTTTAGTAAATACAGATACAAAATATTTATTAAAAATACTACTCATCTCTTCATCACTATCTGTTATTTGACCTGTCTCAGTTTTTAATGGACCTATCCTTTCCCTAGTCTTAGTACGATATAACTGAAAAAACCCTTTAGGATTTGTCTTTGCTTGCCCTGCTATGCGAACTTCATAGTTTCTTTTTGCTTTCCTTATCTCTTTTTTAACATTTCTAACCAGTTGTACGAATTCCTGTTCTAAAGTGACCTCCCCATTTTTAATCCTTTTGTACCAAGCTCTCTTTTTACCTATAAGGTTCTTCAAATTCTTTGTTATCCACTTTGGGTCATTAGTATACGATCTATTCAATTTGTATGGTATACTACGTTCCTGAACATTGCTGATCAAAAGTATACAGCAAGTAAACAAAATTTTTTGTTGAGATGATCATTTAATTTTGCAGCACAGCTCTTGTCCATGTTTGTAACACTGTTTACTAATGTTATACATGTAAGTGGTACTTCTTTAAAATATGGAAAATTGCATTATTAAAGAGTACCGTATGATGCTAATCCTAACAGGGCGCATGTGAGATGAACAGTCTTATGCAGCTTGTTTGTTCCAGACGCTCTAGTACAGAGCCACGAATTATTGCTGCATGTTGCTTGGTGGTGGTCGTGGAGAGGGGCGTGTGTTCCTTGTTCCTAGGTGCCAACTATCGCCGGGAGCAGGTTGTCCGGCTGCGGCCGTGAGAGTCAGGATGGAACCATCGTCACCGAGGCTTCGAAGTTCCAATACAACGGGGTTGCAATTTGCAACTAAGCCGGAGTTTGAAGTAATTTGGGAGAGCCTCTCAAACTGAGTGAGGTTCTCCAGATGTGGCTTGATGATGTAGCTCGGGTAGAGTTGCTGGCCATTGTCATTGTCTTAGTGAAATTTGGAGTCCAACTTTCATTTAGGAATTGTTTAAAGGAATTGTGAGTTCGAGGGGACGAGCGCTCACCCTGCCTGGGGGTGATGGGACACCGAAAGGTATTAATTATAGTCAACATGTGACTTTTGTTTCGGTTCTGGGATGTTTGAGAGGTGGACCCTCCTCCAACCGGTCCGAGGAGGCGGAACAGGAATCTGAAGAAAAGGAGCGGACTACCTGTGGTACTGGGGTTAAGGATGACACTCGTAGCCAGTGTGGGATGCTTGTGACCTTAGCCTGTGTTCCTCAGCCTGCTGCACTTCCTCCAACTAGTGTGCTGGAAGGGGTTCAGATTGGTTTTCATCTTGGAAAGGAAGATGATGTTTTCGAATATGGTTCAGCAGTTCTACCAGCTGGTGCGATGGTGACTGGCCCCGTGGACTCGTGGTTTGCCTGAAGCATGGGGTCGCCCTGGATGCCCTGAGTGGTGACCAGAAGCGATGGCGTGAGGTTAGTGTTCGAGTGACTACTAAGGTCAAGTATCTACCCGTGGAAGTGGCTCAGGTCCATTATGTGTCCAGTGGAGAAAGCTCGACGATGTCCTGCCCCGCTGAAGGCGAACTGGATGGAGGTGCGGAGGAGGTGGTGTTGCCACAGTGCCGAAGGGGTCAACACTTCCCACAGACGGACGAGAAGGTATGCGTCGACGGACGTTATGGTCTGGTAGGGGACTCTGGATTCTGTTGTGGTGCCTGGTTCATGCGAGGTTAACAACGAGCCCCCTTGGTGTGGAGGGTCTCCTGCGGGAGCGCTGAAGACGGGGCAGTAGAGTGTGAAAGAGGAGAGAGACGTGCATGCGAAAGGGAGAAATTGACACCTAGGAAAGGTCCAGCCAGGAGCTCGTCCTCGGCCCTATCTGACGTGGTCAGATAAATCGTTTCCAAAGCTGTAACCGTTCACGACTATGGTGTATAGTGTATTTCATTTCTATCCCTAGAAAATATTCTTATATATTTTGGCTAAGAAGCATTCTCTCTCACTCTTTGGATGGTTCTATGTTATGTATTTGAATGTTTTTGAAGAGTATGAATATGGTTTGCTTACTTGTTTACACTTACACAATTATTTTATTGTTCCTTAAAGTGCTTAAATTGTGAATCATGAAAGGTGTTGTACTTTGATTTACCTTAATTTCTATTTCTTTGTTATGTTTTGTATTGAAGGCAGAATAGTTTGGTTTGTTTTTCGTGTGGATTTACTGTATAGGCTTTGTGTTAATGATGTAACACTGGGAAGTGTTGCTGGTTGGTTGTTGTTAGTTTGGGCTCCTCTGTTTCCCGGTATCAGTGATGAAGGCTGGACCCTTCATCTTGAGTCCAAGATGCAACCCAGTGCATCTTTGGTTGCACAATTCCCTTCCGACGGTTGACTGTCCGCCTGTGTCGTCAATGTGTGGCCCTTGTAGTGCTGTCGTCGAGGCCGGTGTTAGGGCTGCCCATTGTTCTTGCCCAACATCATTTCATCCGCTTCTCTCTCTGGTCTGGGTGGTTCCGTTGTCCAGTGGCCAGATTCCTTCTGCTAGCCGAGGTTTGTGCTTGGGTGTGACCTTGTGTTTGCTTCAACCTGGGTTCCTAAAGGACTCATGCTTTTTTTTTTACATATGATCTGCCCAGATTCTACATATAAAGCCGTTTATTGTAATAAAACCCGGGAAAAACACAAGTTCAAGATTTTTCTCAAACCTGAAACATTACTGTATATATTTCTATTTCTTATTTTAGTATTTTCACGCAGTTTAGAGTTTACTGTATAGGCCTTGTCTGTAGAGAGACGGGGACGGTGTAGCAGCAGAGAGACGGGGGAGGTGTGTACTGGGGAGAGACAGGGAAGGTGTGTACTGGGGAGTGACTGGGAAGGTGTGGTGTGGAGATCTCGAGTGTGTGCGGTGGGAAGAGATAGGGTGAAGATGTTTACAATGATAAGATTTGTGTGTATTGAAGATACAGTGATAGAAGGGGGGGGGGGGGGTGAGAGTGTGTGTAGGGGAAGATGGGGAGGTTGTGTGCCCAACCTACTCGGACACCCCCACCTCCTCCATTTAGTACAATA